GCTTCAGGGCATGGGAACAACCCCCTCCCCTTCTCCAAAGTGATGGCGCAGGACTCTTGTGCACAGTGTTGTTGAGTCGACACCAACTCGATGGCACCCAACAAGAAGCCCTGGGTGGGGGTGGGGGCCCAGGAGGTTGAGGCCCCAGCATGAGCTGGACCCAGGATGAGGGGACATCAACTCCGGAGCTCTGCCGCCTCTAACTGCCCCCCCCCCCCACAGACTGGGATGAATAGGAACTCTGTGCTGGGTGAGGGGCTCTGCGCTCTGGACACAGACAGGGCAGCCCCTCCTGTCGAGTCCTGGGTCCCGGGAGGAATTCTGTGTGAGCAGTGATTCAGAGAAGATAAACAAGAACAAAGGTGTTCTAATCAGTGCAACCCGAAAACCATATTTACTCTCAGCTTCCTGCCCCAGCCCAGAGGGGTCTTTTCTGAGGTAACCGGATGGGGCCGGCCTCACCCCAGCCATCACTGCTGGCCTTACTCTCCCTTGGACCCCAAAGTGGAGCAAGGCCAGGGGCCCCGCCTTGCTCTTATCACGGAAGTCCCTGACTCTCAAGCCCGAGGCAGCCTGCCCTTTCTGTCAACAGAGGGACGGTCCTGCGAACACAGCCATTTCCTTGTAACCGGCTCTGTGGTTCTTGTCATCTGATCACTGTTTTCCCCAGAAGCCCTGAGAATTACAAGAATTGTCCCCAAATTGGAATGTCCCCAAACAGCTAGACCAGGTAGTCTGAGCTCCTCTCTGCCCCGTCCCACCCCACTGCTGCCTGGCAGGGCTCTATACTGCAGTACCCTCCTGCTAGATGCCAAGATGCACTTGGCATCAGCTAAGATCCTTCCAGAAGGGAAATGGGATGGGAGGGAAGTCATGTGCCCACGGTCAGGGGCTGAGCCTCCCCTCGAGGTGCTTCCTTAGGGCCTGAGTACCCTACAGCCCTCCCCAAGGCAGAACTGATGTAGAATGGAAGGATGTGGGTAGTTAGGGTGTATGTCCGCCACCCACCACCCACCCCCTCCCCAGTTATGTGACCCTCGGCCTCTGTGCCTCAGGGAGCTTATCTATAAGATACAATACCCCCTATAGAGGTCTGACAGCTCCAGGACAAAACGAATTGAGTCTGGGTGTCACCTTCCTAATGGGGGTCCTCACTATCAGCCACTGCCCTCAGGGGGTCTGGCTGCTACACTCTCCCTGTTGAGGCTTAGGGGGGCTTGGGTTCAGAAAGCTCCTGGATGCTCACTTGTTTACTGGGTGATGATGCCAGACTTTGCCACCCTGTTGGTTCTTGGGGCATCTTACCAGATCTGGAATCAGGACACCTCTCCTGTCTCCTCCCGGTTTCTTCCTCACTCTTCATGGCCATAAAGTAAGGACACGCTTTCTGACCAAGGGGAGGGTCTGTCCAGGTAGTACAGACACCTGGCTGCTAAGCACGGTTGGAGGTTCAAGCTCACGAGAAGCACTTCAGAAGAAAAGTCTAGAGGAATTCTGGGAAACCAACCACTGACAAGCTGACGGATGGAGCTCAGTTCTATTCTTGGGGTCATTAGGAGTCCAGGTTGACTGGGAGACAAGGGACACTCCCTCCCACTAACAGCAGCTCAGGGTCGGAGACCCATCTGTCTGGCGAGGGTACGTTGGACCCAAGACTGTAGGCTCAGTAAAGCCCTGCCTGTCACAGACATCGGCGGAGGTGCCAACATTGGCATCTCCCGTCTGGGAAAGCCTCAGCTGGTGGCAGAGAGCTGTAGCCAGGGAGGGTTGGAGGCCGAGGGGCACTTGGTCCCTGTGGGCATCCTAAGCCTCTGAAGCCACAGGATGCTGGGGGCTTGACTTAAAGTTGTCCTGCTGACCTGGAGTGTGAATCTTTGTGTAGCCTGGCCTCTAATGTGGGGACTGGCTGGGAGCTCTCAGCCCAGGTGGGCAGGGTGGGGGTTGGTTCCATGGTGGTTTGGGGAGCCTCCTCATCTTTTCCATGTTACCCCCTTCAGTCCCACTGCCTGGCACTGGCTGGGCAGTCTCAGTAGCTGGCTGGACAGCACTGTGCCCATCTTCTTGTCCCCCCAGGATACATCAGCCCCACCAGAGTCCTGGGGGAAATGTGCACGAGGCTGTCTGTTTCCCCAACGCCCCCTCCAAGTGTGCTGACACCCCTTCCTGCTGGCCCCTGAGGCAGGCAGAGGGCTGAGGAGAGGCTGACCTCCCTGGATCCTGCCGGCCAGAACTAGACTGGCCCAGATGACCTGTGATCACCTAGCCTTGGGTCGGTCTCAGGCTGTGCTCAGACACAGGAATGAAGTGACAAGTCTGCAGAATCCCAGCACAGAAGATTGGTGTGGAAACCAGCGGCTCCCTCCCCCTGGGCTGGTAATAGCTGGACTGGGCTGAGGCCAGGGCTGGGCTGGGGTGAGGCCAGGATCAGCCTGAGGGGCTTCAGGCTGAGTCAGGGTCAGCCCAGAGGTGGGCTGAGGGTTGGGGGTGGAGGACTTGGCTACCCTCCTAGCCAATGGTCCCTGCCAGGCTGGAAGGAACTGGGAGGATATGGGGTAGGCTGGACATACTGCCCAAGACAAGGTGACCCCAGGAAGATGCTGGGCTGTGTGCACGACACCACGGGCTCTGAGGGTGGGCGCATTTGTCTTTGTACATAAGGAGGGTCAGTGTTGGGGGAACAGAGTAGAACCCACAGGTCCAGCTGTGTTAAGTCCTCTCGGAGTAGTGGCATCACAGTCTCCCTGGACAAGCAGGGCTCCAGGAGATCACTCTGCCCCCACCTGCTCTGGGCCCTCTGACTATTCCTGGGAAACCCCATGGGGCATGCCCTGTCCCCCTCCCCCCGCCCCGAATGGGGGCTAGAGGCTGAACAGATGGGGAAGGAAGGTGGCAGTGGACGGCGGTCACTCAGGATCGAGGGGGCAGCAAGGACTCTGGGGTCACTGCCTGGGCCAGGCTGTACTCTCCTCAGTTAGGGCACCCACAAGCTACATCCTTATGGGTCAGTGAGCTTCTCCTTGCTGGTTTTCAGGTGGGGAAATTGAGTCCCCGACAGGCAATGGCTGGTCTCAAGCCACATGGTCAGCTTGTCTGGGCCTGGATGCTGCCTTCCCCCTGGGTCACCTACAGGAGGGTGGACCCTGCCAGCCAGGACTTGGCCACTCCCTCAGATACCTGGTCTTTAAGAGGTGCAGCTACTTCTCAGAAGACCGCCCCTCCCCAACCTATGAGCCCACCAGACCTGTGGTCCTCATTGGAACCCAACCAGCTCCACAAGGTGTACTGAAGGCCAGGGATGGGGACTTGGGGACTTGGCCTGATCTGAGGGTAAGGGAGCTCATCAGACTTGGACTGGCCCTTCCCATGAGACCCCAGGATTGTGGACTGGGGTGGGAGAGCTGTGACTCAAAGCTCAAGATCATGGGAGTTCTCCAGATGGTTGGGTCCAGGAGCTTGGGCAGTAGGGCAGTTCTAGGTCCCAAGGGTGGCTCACCCGGTGCCACAGAGCTCCAAGTTCCCAGACCTCAGCACCCTGAGACTTGCAGAGGCACAGAGAGCCGTTGGCTGGGTGGTGACCAGGTGGGCTTCCCAGAGGGCATGTTCTGGAAAGTTCTAGAAGCCTAGCCTAGAACAATGGTCCTCTCTCTCCGACCTGCCTGTCTGCTGCTCTTTCTGGTGGCCATGGACCCTCGGACCTTAGTGGGTGCTGATCCTAGCCTGCACCGGATTTTTTTAGACCACTCAGTCAGTCTGGAGGCCAGTGTTGAAGATTCACAAGGACCCTCCGCCTAGGCTGACAGTAACATCTCTTGGAATACGCACTGAGGAGGGACGGTGGGTCCCGTGACTGTGACTCAGGTTCCACCTCACATAGACATGCAGGGTGTGCCCTTCTCAAAGGGCTGGTCACTGACTCAGAGGGGTCAGGGGCCATGGTGTAGACCGGCCAGTGATCTGATCTAGACTGAACATGGGCTGGCCCTCCTCTCCCCACACATCACATATCCACACTGAATATGGCACCTGTGCATCATCTGTCCCTAGATGGCTGGAGAAACCAGTCTAGAAGCTGGCGGGACACCTGGGGACCAGGCAGGACACCCCAGCACTGCTGGACAGTGCTGCTGCGTTCACTGACCCTCCTCCATGACCACTTGTTCGTTCATTCATTCCTTGTCCCCTTGACTCCCCATCCCATCCTGTGTGAGGTGCAGGGAGGAAGGGACAACCCTACAGTCGGAGAAAGGACTCCTAACAGGGAATAGCCCCCAAAGGCCCCGAGTGTAAGCCCTTTGCTGAACAGTCAGGGCCAGCCATAAGGAGGGGACCCAGTCTGCACGAGCCTTTTGTATCCCCAGGACTGGCTCAGCCTCTGGGCTGTAGAGCTGCCAAGCTCGGTCAGGGTGTGTGGGCACTGGGAGGGACAGCTGGGTCCAGTCTTAGGGTCCTTGGCTGCCCAGATGAGGGCATCCCATTGCTTGCCCATCCCTCATCTGAGGTGACATCATTCATCACACAATGTGCTTTCCTGAGTGGGGGCTGCCCATGTGGACACTCATGCCTCCTGCCTCTCAGCCACAGGACAAGGTGGACGGAGCTGACCCACCAGCTGCCTATTGCCTTCCGGGGCAGGGGCCTTCAGCATGCTGACCACACGTGTCCAGGGTCCGATGTTTTCTTCAGGCCCCTGACTCAAGGGTCAGCCTGTAGGTCCAGAGAGTTTCCCAGGCAAGTTCAAGGGTGGGGTACAAGAGGAGGATGCCCTAGGACCAGGACTTTGGGGGCCTTCAGCAAACGGGGCCCCACCCTGACAGACCCGCCCATCCCCTGCCTGCCTCAGGGAGAGCCCACTGTTTACCTGGGTGAGGGGGAGCCACAGGCTCCGCCCCACCCACTCACGTGGAGCTCTGGGCAGAGCCAACCCCAGGGCTACAAAAGACTCCTGCAGGTCTCATCTCCTCCTCACTGCCGTCCCTGGGGACTCTCCCCTCATTCACACCATGGTTGTCCGCCAGCGCCAGCGGAGGAGGCTGGCCCCGCTCTGGGCCCTGGCTCTCGCCCTGGCCTGCACCCAACACACAGGTATGGCTCCCACTGTCCACCCTTGCAGGTCCAGGTGCGTTTCACCCTGATTGGGGCCATGAGGGGTCACGCAACCTCTGCTTGTGGGCTCAGCTGGTTCTTTATGGGCCAGGGAGAGATTGGGGCTGTGGGGCTTGAGATACTGACAGGCGCTCTGTGTTGGGAAGGCAGGGGCTAGGTGTCCTAAATCCCCTGCCCGTCCCTGCCCACCCCTGCCCATCCCTGCCCGCTGTCTGATCTGTAGTGCCTGGCTTGACGGTCCAGTGGCAACTTTGGCCATCAAGGTCTCATCCTTATGGTCCTGTCCCATCCCACTCCTTGGATCCCCCCGAAACCCCCCATCACAGCTCACTCCCTGCCTGGGCCTTGATGGGCTCCTGGTGGGCGCTCAGCCTTGCTGAAAGATTCCCACATTGTGAGGGTGACAGGGAGTCTCGTGGGGGCCTGTGGTCTCCAGACTGCCCCAGGTCACCCCACGCCAGCTCAGTGTCCTCTGAGCACTGACCACCTTCTGACAAGATGTGACCAACCTTATGTCTGCTTAGGACCCAGTGCATGGGAGACCCCCTAATGCGGAGGACAGGTCAAGGCAGAGGGAACCTCCCCATCAAATACTGGGTTCCCCTTGGGGCCAAGATGAGGGGAAGCTCATGAGGGTCTAAGCTCAGCCATCAGCACAGGGGACCCATGTGCTCCTCTGTGAAGACAGAGACCTTGATTGTCTGCTGCTTTGGCCAGTCCTGAGTATATTCCAGTGCATAGGGGGCTGCCATCACCACTGCCCACCCCTCAGCCACCCCGTCCCCTCCACCCTCCAGCTCAGGCCCCGCCCCTCCTCTCCCATAGGCCATGCCCAGTTCGCTGCCTCGAAATCCAGCTCTGAGTACTACCCGGACCTTCCTCCTGTCCAGCCAGGGCCAGGTGGTGAGTATCCATTCCCACCCCCACCCCAGCTCAGCACAGAGCCTGCATCCAAGGAACACCCCCTATGCTACCCCAACCTTCTGCAGTGGCCCCTCTGTCCATGTTAACCTCTTGCTGGCCTGTCCACACCCCTTTCAGACTCTCTCTGTCCTCTCAAGGGGCCCAATGCCTGCATGAGAGTTCCCTGAGCAGGACCTTCATGTCCACCACTGCTGGCCCTCAGTGGCAACTGTGTGCCCAGGGCCTTCAGTCCAGCCCCCATGCAGGCCCCATGATGTCCAGGCCGGCCCCTGGAGGGATCCTTGGAGAGAGGATGCAGCCTGGCCAGGTCCCAGCGGGATGGCTGAGCTCACAGCTGCACAAACCGGGCTCCTCCTCTCTGTGCCCTCCATGTAGCTCAAGTCTCAGGGGCACATTTACCTTCTCAGTTTTGGGGAGGGAAGGGGCTGCACACTTCAGGCCATGAAGACCACCATGTACCTCCATGACTGGCAGAGGCTCTCAGTCGGAGGAGTTCTGACCACAGGGCAGAACAGCCTACCTCAGTTTGCTGTCTACACCTGGTACCCAGGGAGGGGTCACCCAGGCTTAATCTGGGTGGCCAGGAGATTGTCCAGAGCCGCCGATGTTGACTCAGGCATTTTTGAGATTCCAGACGCAGGGAGCTCTCTGCGTGCAAACAGACCTTTCAGGCCAGAATTGGGTGAGGCTGACTGCCCTGGGGCTGTCTCCAGGTAATGGCCCAGGGGAATGGAGAGCTGAGTCCATGCCCCTCAGCGGCTCTATCTGGGTCCACATGTATGCGTAACAGAGTGAGGCAATGGCATGCCACAGAGATGTCTCACAGGAAGGTTTTCGTGATGGACACTCAGGGCAATGGGTGCTCCAGACCATGGGGGCTTGTCTTCATGCACGTCTGTCCCAACAGGTAACCCACTTGGTGGGGTGACCATCTTCCCACCGATGAAGGCTATCCCTGTCGTACGAGGTGGGTGAAACCAGTGTTTGCTGGGTTTTCCTTCCCCTGGTATCTAGGGTAGCCCTCTGGGAGGGAGCCACCTTTCAGGGCAGACACTGAATACGTCTCCAGAAAGGGTCCAGAAATCTCCCATGAGGTCGTTCCTAGGGTTTTGTCCACCTGAGCATTGGCGTCCACATGGGGCAGAAACCTGTCCGTGAGAATGGGGGCAGGCAGGCTGAGGTACCCCATCTTCAGCAACCCCCTGCTGCTTCGCCCACAGCCCTGAACCCCGCACACAATGGCCGGGTCTGCAGCACATGGGGTGACTTCCACTACAAGACCTTCGACGGGGACATCTTCCGCTTCCCTGGCCTCTGCAACTATCTCTTCTCTTCCAACTGCCATGCTGCCTACGAGGACTTCAACATCCAGGTGCGCCACGGCCAGGGGGCCAATGCCACCATGCCCAGCAGGGTCGTCATGAAGCTCAACGGCATGGTCCTCGAGTTAACCAAGAGCTCTGTCCAGGTCAACGGCCACCTGTGAGTCCAGCCCCAGAAACGCCCAGATGGTCCTGGGTGGGAATGCCATTTCTGGGGAGGGTAGGAATGGAGTCCCCAGGAATGGGGTGGACATAACCTCCCCTCAGGCCTGGGTGCTGGCCCACTGCCCCTCCTGGGGCCCCAGGGTGCCTCTCTCTGCCCCCGGAAATGGGGCCCTTCCTCTGTCTCTTAGACGTCAGAACCAGGGCTTCATGTCTGTGTTCTGTGTACCACCCATATATGACCATGAGTCCCACATCTGTCCTGAATGTGACTCCACGTGCTACATACCAACAACGTGCTGACCGCTCACACACACGACTGTAGGGACCCTCCCCCTTCACCCTCTGCTGGGACCCTGTCTTCGGTGCCCCCACTCCTGGCTGTGCTCCTCAATCTGGCCCCTCTCACAGGGTCCAGCTGCCCTTCAGCCAGTCTGGTGTCCTCGTTGAGCGAAACAGCATGTACCTGAAGGTGTCATCCAGGCTGGGGCTGGTCTTCATGTGGAATCTGGACAATAGTCTCTTGGTAAGGGTGGGAGGCTGGCATCTGGGGAAGGCTGGTGGGTAAGGACCCTGTCCAGAGTCTAATAGAGCCCAGGGTCTGCACCCCTGGTTCTGGGGTCCACCTGTAGGATGCCTCCTCCAGGGCAGTTCTGGCTTACAGGGACCACAGTGGGGGTCTCCTGGGCCAAGTCTCCTCTGTGTGCGTCTAGCTCCTCCTTGGCAATCTTGGGCTGCCAGACCCATCTGTCTCTCAAGCCCAGGGTGTTCACAGTGGGGGCAGGCATCTGATGTCACCTCTCCTTTCAGCTGGAGCTGGATGACAAATATGCCAACCAGACCTGTGGACTGTGTGGGGATTTCAACGGCCTCCCCGTCTTCAACGAGTTCCTCTCTAACAGTAAGGCCACGCTACATCCTTGCTTAGGCTTTGTAGGGTTCCTTCTGTCAGCTTGCCATCACACAGAAGAAGGAAGGAAGCTCCCTGTCCTTCAGGCCTCAGTCAGCGTTCTCCAAGTGTGTGTGCACCTATGCACCCTCCCACAATTCTGGCACATGGGCACACATGAACACTCCCAACACACGTGTGTACACATGCAAACACACAAGTGGCACGTGCATGCACACAATCCAACATGCATGTGCACACCCACACCCACAATCCCAGCACACATATGCACACACATAAACACGCACACCATCCTGGCACACATGTGTGTATGCACAAGCAGATGTACTCATGAGTGTCCCAACACTCACACCCCAGCATGCATGAATACACTCACACAGAAACACACACACATGTGCACACACTAGCACTTCCAGCATGCACACACAATCACAGATGTACACACAGATGTACACACGTGTGTGCACACACACAAATACGCACATGCGTACAACCAACACACACACATGCACACAAGAACATGCATGCACATACACATCTGTGCACATACAATCCATTATGCAGGCATACAATTGCACACACTCACACACAAATGTGCACACATACACTCATGTATGTGCGTTCCTTCACCCCCATCATGCACAAACACTCCCATGTGTCTGCACACACACACACACACACACACAATCCAGCAGGTATACATGCACACATGTGTACACATACATGAACTCATGCACACATAGTCATACAAGCACACACATGCATGCTCTCGTAATCCCAGCACACACACACTCCATGCATGTACACCCATGCACAACTACACAATTCTGTCACTCAGAAGTGTTGTCAGCATAGCAGGCAGAAAGCAAAGTTCCCGGTCTGATGCTTTCCTGCTAGTGAGAAGGTCCCGGGGCTCACCCACAGCACCTGCATCGTGCATCTTACAGATGTCAAGCTGACCCCCACCGAGTACGGGAACCTGCAGAAGCTGGATGGGCCCATGGAGCAGTGCCAGGACCCTGTCCCCGTGCCCCAGAAGAACTGCACAGCTGGCCTTGTATGTCCTGAAACAGACCCTGGGGTGTTTGTCTCACAGGGTTGAGATGGTGGTGGTCTTAGTCTGGGAGGTGGGACTGTAAGCCCTGGGGGTCGACCCCGGACCAGGACTTAGTGGGGTTACTGTCCATTTCCAGGCGTTCTGCCAGGAGACGCTCCTTGGCCAGCCGTTCTCCGGCTGCCATGCCTTGGTGGATGCCAGAAGTTACATCGAGGCCTGCCAGCAGGACGTCTGTCTCTGCACCGACGCCGACCCCATCAGCTGTGCCTGCCCCACCCTCGCCGAGTACTCGAGACAGTGTGTGCATGCTGGCGGGGTGCCCCAGGACTGGCGGACCCCTGACCTGTGCCGTGAGTCCCTCCTCTGCCCGCTGCATGCCTGTCACTCTCACACCCCTGTGGCAGGGATGGGAATGACATGAACCTCATCTTCCTGGTTACAGCGGCCCAGGGGTGCCCCTTCAACATGGAACACCGTGAGTGTGGCCTGCCCTGCGCCGACACCTGCTCCAACCTGGAGCATGCCCAGTTGTGTGAGGACCATTGCGTCAGTGGCTGCTTCTGTCCCGAAGGTGAGGCAGCATCCCTGCCCCAACCACCGACCCAGCACAGGTCCCCGAGAAACACAAACTCACCCTGAGTGCCAGGAGGCTGGTGTGGCCTGAGTCCTCAGGGGTTCAAGGACACTGACTGGCCACTCTGGGGCTTTGGGGGCTGGGCTCATGCCGTCTGTTTCCTCAGGGATGGTGTTTGATGACATTAACCAGAACGGCTGTGTCCCCACAACTCAGTGCTCCTGCATGTACAATGGGCTCTCCTACCCCCCTGGGGCCACCTACTCAACCGACTGTACCAACTGGTAGGTCCCTGGGCTCTGCCCTCCATCCTGGGTGCCTGCCCTCATCTCCCACAGGGGACTTTGGGTGACAGCACTTAAGGTTCCCAGGAGCCAGAACCGACAGGGTGCCTCTCCTCTCTTCCCCAGCACCTGCTCCGGAGGCCTCTGGAGTTGCCAGGAAACTCCCTGTCCAGGCACCTGCTCAGTGCTGGGGGGCTCCCACTTCACCACGTTTGACGAGAAGCAATACACGGTGCATGGGGACTGCAGTTACTTGCTGGCCAAGGTACCTCCAGACCCCTGGGTGCCCATGCCCAGGCCTACCCAGCCCAGCATGACCCAGCCAGGCCGAATGACTAAGGCTTCTGGCCACCCTCCAGCCTTCCCAGAGCCAAACCTCGCAGGGTCTCTCAGTCTGGGTGACCCTGGCCTCTTTGTATCTAAGCTTTTGTTTGGGGTCTTATTTTTAAGTTAATGCACTTTACTTTTTAGGGAAGTTGAGGTTTAAAGACAACTTGCACAGGAAGCCTGGACAGTGTCCACATACTCCCATGGCCATGCACAGTCTCTCCTGTTACTATCTATCATGCTGCATTTGTGTGATACCTTGGTTACAACTCATGAGCCAATATGATAGATGGTTAGGAAGTCAAGGCCATAGTTTCCTATGTTTCACGGGGTCCTGTGTCTTTTGACAAAGACACAATGTCATGTGTCCACCACTGCAGTATCCTCAGGATCGTTTCCCTGCCCTACAAATGCCCTGTTCTCCCCCCACCCGCCCACTGTCCTCCTTCTCCTGGGAAACCACTATCTTTTCACTGTTTCAATCCTGGTGTGGAGCTCTAGTGGTTATGATATGGGCTGCTATCCTCAAGGTCAGCAGTTTGAAACTACCAGCCATTCTGTGGGAGAAAGATGAGGTTTCTTTCTGCTCTTGCAAAGATTTACAGCCTTGGAAACCCTATGCAGGGTCATTATGGGTTGGAACCTAGTCCACGGCATATACCACCACCACCATCCTGGTGTGACACTGTGAGATAAAGCCCTGGGTCTCAAGGTTGGCTTGAACTGCAAGGTTGGTGATTCCAACTCCTTGGAAACCCTAAACAGTGTTGCTATGAGTTGGAACTGACTCAACAGCATTTACCAACAACAACACTGTAAGGGTGATTCAAACCCACCTGCCGATCCTCAGAAGAAACACGAGGCTGTGTGCTCCCGTGTAGATTTACAGCCTTGGGAACACTGAGCAACAGTTCTATGTTGTCCTGTGTAGGATTGCCGTAAGTCACTATCGACTGGACGCCACTGGGTTTGGTTTTGATTTTTATATCTGAGCTGTCTCTGACTCATGGAGACCCCATGCGTGTCAGAGGTGAACTGTGCTCCATAGGGGTTTTCAACGGCTGATTTTCCTAAGTCGATTTCCAGACCTTTATTGTGAGGGACCTCTAGGTAGAATTAAATCTTCAACCTTTTGGTTAGCAGCCCAGCCCTTAACTGCTTAGCCTGTGCCAAGTTAATGACATGCCCTGGAATGGGAGTTAGCAGCAAGGGTGGGCAGGACGGGGATTGAGGAGTCTGTGTCCCGCAGCCCTGCGATGACACTACCTTCACCGTGTTGGCCGAGCTGCGCAAGTGTGGGCTGACAGACAGTGAGACCTGCTTGAAGAGCGTGACGCTGAATCTGGGCAGTGGGCAGACGGTGAGTGTGCCCAGACCGGGGGTGGGGTGGAGGTGGGGGGTGGAGAGAGGGTCCCAGCCCCCCTTCTCAATGCCATTCATTTGGGGGCTTCTGAATACTGTCCTCAGACCGAAGTCGATTTCCCAGTTCTGTGGCTTGTGTGTTTCCTTCCTAATGAGATTCCTGCAGGAACTTCCGGAAGGCAGGGGAGTTCATCCTGCCCTCCCAGCTCCCTGCCCCCAGGCAGAGGTCCCCCAGCCCCTCTGTAGATTTCTCAGCTCCACACGGGGCCAGGTTCAGGGATAATGGGGACTGGAGCCAGGTTCAACCACTGACCCTCGCTGTTCCCTCAGGTCATTGTGGTCAAGGCCAGCGGCGAGGTGTTTGTGAACCAGATCTACACCCAGCTGCCCATCTCTGCAGGTGAGGGTTGCCCTCAGGACCTGCGCTGGCTGGGGGTCCTGCCTTGAACCCCCTCATTCAAGCTCTGTCCTCTGCATCTACAGCCAACGTCACCCTCTTCAGGCCTTCCACCTTCTTCCTCATCGCCCAGACCAACCTGGGCCTGCAGCTGGACATTCAGCTCGTTCCCACCATGCAGGTCTTCCTGAGACTGATGCCTGCATTCCGGGGCCTAACCTGCGGTAAGAGGCACCTCGCCGCCCCCAAGCTCCCTCAATGACCAGGATGCCTGGGGTCTCATGCCTACCCTCTGTCCACCCCAAGGTCTCTGTGGAAACTTCAACAGTGTCCAGGCAGACGACTTCCGGACCATAAGTGGGGTGGTGGAGGGCACAGCTGCTGCCTTCTTCAATACCTGGAAGACCCAGGCTGCCTGCCCCAATGTCAAAAACAACTTCGAGGACCCCTGCTCCCTCAGTGTGGAGAACGGTACGCACCTGCTCACCTGCCTCCCTGTGGGTCCCAGGGCAAAATCACCACTCATACCTATCTGGTGATGGGTCAGTCAAGGCCATGAAGGTCCAAACTAGGGTCCAGCTGGTCATTCTGGACCTGTCCTTGAGGGGGAAGGCTGGTAGTAGAAAGGCAAAGAGACACATGGAAAGTTCTAGAAAATGAACAGAGCCACACTGAGATTCAAGACCACTTCCTGTGGCTGCTCACAAGTAGGGAGCACTCTTGGGGAGGAGCCCTTGGACACCCTCAACAAAGTTTGTCCCAGCTCTGTCTATATGTGGCATCTCGACAATGCCGCCACACCTTCAGGGGGAAACCAAAGTCCCAGGTCCCTATTGAACTAACATTGACCCTGATCGTCCATGCCCTGGATGGGATAAGAGATTCAATATTTGTTGGTCCCAGAGCAGGGTTGGCATGGGTTTGACAAGTCTGTTCCCTGTAAGGAGCAGCATGTGGGACTGGGCGGGGTGGCAGGATGGAGAGTAGGAAGCTTGATGACATGATGACCCCTGACCCCTGTATGAAGCCTTCAGTGCTTGCACCTCTAGTCCACGTAAGGGCCAGCCCAGTGTTGTGGGTCTGAACTGCCCAATGTGCACCACCCTGTGTTCACAGAGAAGTACGCCCAGTACTGGTGTTCACGGCTGACGGACGCTGATGGACCCTTTGCCCGCTGCCACGCCGCTGTGAACCCTGCCACCTACTACTCAGTAAGGGACATCGTCTGCTCCCCTCTGGCTGAGCCCCCACCTCAGGCCGTAAAGCCACACTTACATTTACAGACAGGAGAAGGCACTGGGGGGTGGGGAGACACAGGGAGCTGTGAGAGACAAGGTGACCTGTCCCTGCCCCAAGAGGCTCTCCTCACCTGACCTTGACCTTCCAATCCTATCCTCCGTCCTGTTCCCCATGCTTTCACCCATCTGTCTATCTTTCCATCTACCCACATCCACTGATCCCTCCATATATTCATCTATCCATCCTCCCACCCACTCATTTCTCCACCTAGTCTTCACCCACGCACCCACTCATTCATCCATCCACTCATCTACCACTCATCCATCATCCATCCATCCATCCATCCATCCATTTATCCATCCACCCACCCATCCATCCACCCACCCATCCATCCATCCATCCATCCACCCATCCATCCATCCATCCATCCATCCATCCATCCATCCATCCATCCACATACCCACTCACCCACTCACCCATCCACTCACTCATCCATCCACCCACACAAGGAGTCCTGATGTAGTGCTGTAGGATAAGAACTGGTTAGTTTGAACCACAAGGTCGGCAGTTCAAACTCACCAGCCACTCCTTGTACACCCCATATAGCATGGCTATGAGTCGGAATTGACTTGAGGGCACTTAACGCCACCACCCACACATGCTCACCATGGTCATCTCAAACCTCTGCTCCTATACCAGACAGAGAGGTTCACTCTCAGAGTTCTGACCAGGGGGGTCTCAGCGGGGTGCTATTTGGGTGCTGAACTTGCTGGGTCCTGTCCAGCCCTCAGGGTTCCTCCCAGTCCCCCACGGAAACCCCCCATCCCCGCCCAGCACCTGGGCTGGCTCCAAGATCTTCACTTCCAACCAGCAGCAGACGCTTATCGTCGGGGACAGGGTGGGGGGCTTGAGGCTGCAAGGACTTGGGTGAGGGTCCTGAAGGGAAAGGCGGAGTATCAGAAAGGAAGATGCAGGGTGGAGGGCCTGCACAAGGACCAGAGCTTGGGGTAGGGTCGCTCATGTTGGGGGTACCTAATTTCCTTTCGCTCCACAGAACTGCATGTTCGACACGTGCAACTGCGAGAAGAGTGAGGACTGTCTGTGTGCCGCATTGTCCGCCTACGTGCGCGCATGCGCTGCCAAGGGCGTGCTGCTGAACGGCTGGAGGGAGGGTGTGTGCGGTGAGTGGACGGCGCCGCGGTCACTGGAGACCTTGGGCTCGGGCACATGTTCCCCACCTTTAGCTGCCAGAGGGGTTCCGTTTATGCACCCTGCCCTCCCCACTTCCAGGTGCTTGCTTGGGCACCAGCCCCACACACCCCACCACAGGCTCGGTTCCCGTAGACTAGGAGGGGAGGGGGCTACGCCCTGGGGTGGACCCCAGTGGTTGGGGGCAGGGGCTGGGGTGCTTTGTGGTGATCCCAGGGAGGAGCATGGGCTCTTTGCTCACAAACGTCCTAATTCTCCTCTTTCTGGGGTTTCTACAGGGAAGCCAGAAACCACCTGCCCCAAGTCGATGATCTACTCTGATAACGTCAGAACGTGCCAGCCCACCTGTCGCTCCCTGAGTGAGGAAGACGTCACCTGCCGCATCAGCTTTGTGCCCGGGGATGGCTGCATCTGTGCCAAGGGAACTTTTCTGGATGACTCGGGCAAGTGTGTGCCAGCGGCCAGCTGCCCCTGCTACTACCGAGGCTCCGCTATTCCCAGTGGCGAGTCTGTGCACGATGCTGGGGCCATCTGGTAAGAGCTCACCGTCTGAGGCTGGGTCTGAGATGGGTGCTGGGGCAAAGCAGGGATCTGACTACATGCTTCTCACAGCACCTGCACCCAAGGGAAGCTGACCTGCATTGGAGGCCACACACCCACCCCAGGTGAGCCCTTGGGTCTTGGGAAGGAAAGAAGGGGGAGCAAGTTCACAAAATGAGTTTGGGGCCAACTGTCCCCTAAGCCCACTGACTCAGTGACTGCTGATCAACTTCTCTGGGTCAGGGCTAGACTGTGGTCCTCAGGGCTCAGTGAGGGGGATTGGGGTAACGTGGGTATGCACAAACAGTTTCTCAAGTGTGAGCATGCACGCACACATACACATACATACATCCTCCCACCCACCCATCCATCCATCCATCCATCCATCCACCCATCCATTCGTCTGTCTATCCATCCATCCACCCATCCATTCATCTATCTATCCATCTATCCATCCTCCCATTCATGTATCCATTTATCCATCCATCCACCCACCCA